GATGGACATCAAATTGAATAGCAAATGTTGAATAGTAGATCTCAACTTCGAGATTAGATGGTTACATATATCAGATCTAAATAATTTATGAATAGATCTCACAAACATGTCAAGATTTATGAATTTAAAAGTAAAAAAAGACTTCAATATACATGAGATTTTAATATTAAGAAGGGTAACTATATTCAGACTAGAATTTTTATTATTTGCATCATATTTTAATTATAATGAAAGTCCTCACTATTTGTTCATTTTTATATTTACGTTTTTTACTTTTTTTTTCCGTGTTTTTTTATCCATAACCTTCAGTTGATTATTATATGATGCCATCCAAATATTTTGGAAAAGTGCACTGAAATTAGGAAAAATATTTTGTCTAATTTTGTATTTGTTGTTTTTTTTTTTTCCTTTTTTAAAAATATGAAAATAAGTCTTTTTATGCCCTCCTAATAATTTTCTGGATGAAAATATCATCGAAAATCAGATATGAAAATTAATAGAAGGTTGATGACAAGAATTTGATGAAAAAGTTTGAGAAATAAGTGTGAAAATGACTAAAGGTTGAAAACATTTATTGCGATATAAATTTGGGAGAATTAAACATTACCTCCATCTGACGAAGCTATGTTTGTTTTTATTTTCACACAGAGTACTAAAATGTAATTAATATAATTGAAAATATAATTTTTTTTCTTACGTTTTTCCTAATATATTCCCATATTAAAGAATGATTTAAACAGAAATAATTTATATTTGTTGATAACAAGACACATTAAATAGGAATATGTTAGAAAAATAAGTAATCAACTATACTCTCAATAAGAAAAGTGATTTATAATTTTGGACATACGAAAAAGGAAGGCAAGCCTATTTTTATGGGACGGAGCAAGTAGTAATTACGATGTGAATATAATTATGATAATGTCATTTGTACGATGATTTTTGACAACATTGTTAAAAATGTTGTATGTGTCAATAAAGTGTTGGTTAAAAAGATGAATTATTTTTCAAACTATCAAATAATAATATGTTGTCAACAATATTGTAAAAAAAAAAATTATAAACCAAGAATGATTAAATGATTTATTCTACAATTTTGTTATTTTTACATTGATATTGAGACCCCCTCACAATAGAAGGGGTCCACGACCAATAAAAAAATCATAGACCCCCTATTGTGAGGGGGGGGGGGGGGG